TCGAGTTGCCATACCACATTAGCACAGAGATGCAGTGGTCGATTCAAATCCCGTAGTGGTAGAGGTAGCAAGAGTATAAGCAGTAATCGGGAAGATTACGTATTCATGCTAATATGATATATTTTATGAATGTTATCACTATTACCATGACACCTGTAAACTTATTATTACTTTTTACTTTTTATTTATAACGTTTAGTAATGTAATTTACTTCACTGATTTCACTGACTGACAAAATACCTTGATTACCTGAGTATCTTTCATGTATATTACGTTGTAAAGTTTCATGAAGGCTTAATTGTATGTTTTGTTCAACCTATACGATGTATATTCTAAATTCATTTTTGTATTGTTTCTTTGAATCTTATCATTGATGTTTAAAATTGCAAGTGATCAGTATATTTTTGGTATATATTCGTCCTGTGTGGATTACCTCGATATTGCTTTAATTCGCATAGATTTTAAGCAAAGATGGATGGTGGCTGGAAGTGGATTCTAGGACGCATGTTTTATTCTTTTTGGGACTTGTAGCTGGGTGATCCTGATTTGACGTTCACTCCGAGACTCGAACTCAGTATCTTTTGTTTCAAACGACATCGTGTTATAAACTTAGTTACTGATTCCATATAGCCACTGGCTTGTGCAGTGTGGTGGTGTTTTATTCGCTTGTATTGGTTTCTTAGATCTCGTTACTGACATTTAGGACTGAGAATGAGTCTGGGTATGAGTCCTGCAGTGAGCATAACTCTGGAATGCAGGTATATCCAGCTGACATGTCTCAAGTAGTATGAAACGCTCATCCTAGATTCAACTGCTGGCTATCACTCATCTTTGCTTATATTCTAAACCTCTTGACATTAATAACATAACTGAAGTTAATTTTAATCTAACAATATTTTAATTGATAAGAAACAAACATGAAATTTAGTCTTTTAGAATCGGATCACCACTATATCAATCACTTAGATTTTTATTATGAGTCGGTCGCATATGAGAGGACGTAGTAAAGAAGTGCTAAAAAATATATATCATTATATTAAGGAAGTTTTATAGACTAACAAGATCATGGAGCGTATTTTAAATTATAAAGGATTCAAATCATTTGTACTTTTGATTGTTACATTTTAGTGGCCTTATGTCTGATTCCAGTTAGATCGTATGAATGATTCTTATTGAAATATATGTTTTGCCAATCCTTGTACATAATCATCGACTTAAATTGCGTTGATGAATAACGGAATTAAATATGTCAAAAACGGGAATGGATTTTTGAATATGTATATTTCGAACGATCGTTGATCGAAAAGCGAAATAAAACGAACTTAAGAGCGGTGAAGGCGAGTGAGCCAGCGCGATTTAACCAACCGTAAATTGATATTTATAATCAGATAAAAATAAGTTACAGATACATAATCAGTAAGATAAGAAACACACACAAATACACTTACATAAAAACAGTCAAGGTCGATAAACAACTAATTGACAAGGTCAAAATCTGACTCTGGAAGAATGAATAAATTGGCTTATCCGGAAGCCAGAATAACCTATATGGGTTTGACATAGCAACCGACAATACAAAGTACATAAATTATATCTTCAAAGGGTCAAAGCATAATATCAACTCTCTAATTCATTATCACTGAATACTGAACAGAATTCTTCCGTTAGGTTGACGTTTGGTTTCTTTAACCCAGGTCAGTTGTGAGGTAGTAACTCACTGATGAAAATGGTGGATGTGTCGCTCAATTTCGTGGATTAGTTGAAGTTAGACATTAACACGGTTGGATGCCGGCCAGCTCAGTGGCTTCGTTGGTTAAGCGCCTGGCGCGAAACTGGTAAGTCCCGCGAGGCGGGGTCGTGGATGCTCACTGCTGGGGCGTCCCACAATAAGACAAAACGGCCGTCCAGTGCTTCCAGGGTTTCCATGGTAGTCTAGTTTCAATTGACTCATAATCTCAACTGTTTAAAGTATGAATATATGTTTAGGTATATGATCAGTATATTCAGTATATATATTCAGTATTACCCTATCTGGTTTTTTTTGCTAATTTATACAAAAAATGTTCAAAGTATTTACAGATTATAGATTATAGATATTTAGATATTGTTTATTACCATTAAGTTTTATCTTGAAATTAAATCAACATAAAAAAGATAAGTCTACATTTCTATTATTATTTTCCTTTCATTTTATTTTTGATGGAGCTGAATGGTTTATTCGTTCAGCATTCATCGTTCTTCTGAACGATATCAGATGGAAGTTTATCTATCCAGCTCAAAGAACAAAACTCCATCGAAATCATCCATCTGAGCTACAAATCTTCTCCACCATCTTTTCATTTTATATCATACATCCTAACAGTAACAGAGTATTTAATCCATTAAAAACAAATGATGAAAATTTTCTATTTTTATATGATTGAATCATCAAATATAAACTTAAATTAGTTTAAATCAACTATCTTGTTGATTAATTTTTAAAAAAAATGATAAATTAAATTGATTCTTTAAAAAAAATCTGTTTGTACTACCCAAATTTTTTATAGTGTTTGTCTAAATAGAAACAAAACAACTAGACGGTGGTTGGAGGTAGTCGACAGGAATTCCTGGAACAGGGTTTCATGCTACTTGGGACTCGTCAGCAAGATGTACCTGCAATCTTGAGGAAACTGGAGGATTCGATCCCGTGTCACCCAGCTTTACAGTCAGAGACGTTACCATTGAGCTACTGAAATATGAATATTCTAAATAAATTGTTTTGTATTTTATTCATTCTTCTTGTAAAGCATGTTTTGGAGAAATAAATATAAAATTTTAAAAAAAGATTATGAGTGAAAAACATTAAAATAAATTTACTCGATTTTGTTTTTGGCAAAATCAACAATTTTTACTTATTTCAACATGATACAGCTAACTTAATTTTTTCAATGTTGATCATTGTGATTTTTCTTTAAAATGGCATTTTTAAATAATCTTATACTATACTTAATTTTGAGATCAAACAAGTTTATCTTAATATAATTTCTAAATAATAATAGTAATAAAAACAGAAATGGGAGATGGATTATAGTGGAATCTATGACGCGCATTTCGTCCTAGTTTGAAAATTCGTCAGTTGAGTTTGCCTACACTTCCGAGTTGATATTATTTACAGGACTCGAACCCAGTATCCACACTTTATAATATTAATAAAATTAGTTTACCATTATCCAATTTCCAAGTCTAGAACAAATGTGATTCATTGATTGATATTTCTTGAATATTTATCGTAAGTGTATCCTCAACGTTTAAGAAAGTGTTTATATTTATGAGATTCAAAATTGCATCAATCAGTGCTATACATAGTGTCTTTAACATCTATCTTCTGTAGGAGTGTGTTACCTGAACTATCTAGAAACTGATTACTTATCTGATGTTAGTGTTAATTTGAACCAGCTTGCAAATGATGTAAGCGATGTATGTTTAAACTTTCAAAAGTATAGTACAATCACTAGGATCCATATATTATTGTTATTTTTTCTATCTGCCTTAAGATGAAATATGTGTGCCTTCTTATTATATCCGATTACTGTCTTATGTTTGGTTGTTTGTGGATGCAATGTAAAATACTGCGCTGTGGATGTTGTAAGCAGAACATATATTGCAATAAATCCAATTGTAAATTATTTCATCGAATTCGTACTAAGTCAGTTCCCGAATACCAGTATCATCATAAATGTAAATTTCACTAATAATGTCAGCTGCAAATTGCAAGTCATTATCTAAAGATTTTATCAGAGTTTCAAAATGTCGATCAACTATCATAGACTGAGTGGAAAAATGGACTATATTCCCAAACAAGTGAGACAATATCTTATTGAAAACTTTAAATCAAAACCATAGAATTACGACATAATAGCTTAATAACCTCGTTATTCCTAAGAGACCATGGTGTGATTATTCGGATTCTGAAATGGCATCCAGTGGTGTTAATGTCTAACGTCAACCAGTCCACCGTCTACCATTGTCTTCAATGAGTTGCTTTCTCACAACAGACTCGGTTGAACTCTGCTGATCACGGTTTCTCACTAGAACTCCAGGAAATACCTCTTGAAGCCAGTTTTTAGTGAGTATATGATGATGATTATCAGAAGGGGGTCTTTGTGGAGATTTTATTAATTAAGTAATTATTATTTCTCGAAATTAACTTTATTTATATTGGTCAATAATCTTAGAATTCTAACTGACTCATAAATTTATTTAGGTGAACATTATATAGCAATACTCTTCATATTTCTATGTCTATTTTATTGATAATTCTTAATTCAAACTTAATTGCAAATGATATTATTTACCATCAACCTGATTATTACTTTAGATCAGAGTTAGGATCTGATGAAAATATATTGAAAATAATATTCTTCCCTCATCATTGTGTTTGAATGATAAGCATATGATCTTTTTAAAATAGTAATCTATGAATTGTTGACATTAATAATTCAATAAGATATACCAGAGGTGTAAAAATGTATTTCCGTATTACAATCGGCCGATTTTTTGAGTCTTTATTAAATAATTTGTTTATTCGGTTAGTGTAAGAAATTTACAATATAAGTATAATAAGGGAATTACGAAGAACTTGATTGTGTTCAGTTAGAAGACGAATGACCATTACGCCACTATTCAGCGATCAATCAATTGGGAAGCGATCAGTTGTGGCTAAAATTAATCAATGGTAGCATCATGAATCATGACGTTTGACAATGCGGGAGCAAACTTACCTGAAAGTACCCATTTCATTATGAGTTTAGTTACTCCTTGATGACGATTATCGAATAGCTCGTAACCCGGATTCGAGGTAACCGGTCAACTATCTACAATCATCTGACTAAACTTAAATTTGATAAACGATAGTGTTCCGTACAGTTGATTTATTACAAGCAGTTTAAGCGTTAAAATCTGATAAGTAATTATGCAAACACTATATATATATATAATCATTTAGTTCAATAAAAACTTACCATCTTCACATAAACTTCGAGTTGTACTTGTAACATTATCAGTAGTACCATGATTAGTTTTTGAGCCGTTGGAGTGTTGAGATTGATCAGATTCAGATGAGCGATTTTCACCCTAATCATGAAAAGGAATCCATATATATATTCATTTTCGTAACTTTTTTTAACAACAATAACGAAAATAAGTGACTGTTAAACGAAAGAAAATGAAATAGGCTTTTGTTTTATATACACTCGATTCATAAATTGATAGTTTGCTAAATTGACTTCAATTTTCACCATACATTTTTGTTCATTATTAGTAACCGTCAACAAATTTATTTACAGTTGGAGGGAGAAACAAATACAGCAAGAGATTTGCAAACCGATGTGCATTCAAAGATCATCGGACAACTGGACAAACAGCATTAAAAAGGTTCAATACAGCCTTGCTTCGACATAGTGACAAACTCGTACAATCCAAGATAACTCACAACAACAAGTTCCAAACCTAACAAGACTTACTCAAAGAAGAAGAAACGACAATAGAGGACAATAGAAAAGGGATCAAAGAATTAATAACTTCATCAAGTGCATCATCATAAGGAATGGATCTCTATAGAGACTGTGTACAAGATTTAAGAAAGTAATAATAATAAGAGAACAAATAACAGCAGTCGAACAAGACTAAAGAATATCAGGAAGCGATCTGAATACACAGAAGCAAACAAGCGAGTAACGAAAAGTATTAAAGCCGACAAGCGAGAATACGTGGAAGAGCTAGCAATGATAGAGGAAAAAACTGAAAGAGTAAGAAATATGAGACGGCTAGATGACACAAAAAAGAAACTTATAGAAAGATATAGTAAGCCAGAGAGATCGGTCAAGGACAAAGAAGATAAGTCAATCACTGAAATTCAAGAACGAAGAAACAGGTGGGTGGGACACTTCGATGAACTCTTGAATATATCAGCTACATTGAATCCACCGGACACCGAGGCAGTACACACAAACCTTCCTTTAGCTACCACTCCTTACTTACTTACTTACTTACTTACTTACTTACTTACTTACTTACTTACTTACTTACTTACTTACTTACTTACTTACTTACTCACGCCTGTTACTCACAATGGAGCATAGGCCGCCGACCAGCATTCTCTAACCCACTCTGTCCTGGGCCTCCTTATCTAATTCCATCAAATTCTTGTTCATCTTTTTCATATCTATTTAAATTTCTTTGGTCGTCCTCTTTTCCTTTGACCTTGAGGATTCCATGTGGGGGCTTGTCTTGTGACGCAGTTGGGTGCTTTCCTCAATGTGTGTTCTATCCACTTTCAGCGCTTCGTCCTGATTTCTTCCTCTAATGGGATCTGGTTTGTCCTCTCCCTCAGTACTTTGTTGCTAATAGTGTCAGGCCAACGGATCCGAAGTATTTTGCGTAGAGAACTGTTAATAAACACCTGTATTTTCTGGATGATGGCTTTCGTAGTTCTCCAGGTTTCCGAACCATACAGTAGAACTGTCTTGACATTTGTATTGAAAATCCTGACTTTGGTGTTGGTTGACAGTTGCTTTGAGTTCCAGATGTTCCTCATTTGTAAATATGTTGCTCTTGCTTTGCCGATCCGCGCCTTCACATCTGCATCAGATGCACCTTGTTCATCAGTGATGCTGCCCTAATATGTAAAGGTTTTTACATCTTCCAAATATTTTCCGTCAATTGTGATTGGATCTGTGCATGCTGTGTTGTATCGGAGAACCTTGCTCTTCCCTTTGTGTATATTGAGACCTACTGCTGCTGAGGCTGCTGCTACACTGGTCGTCTTCTCCTGCATTTGTTGTTGCGATTGGGATAGAAGGACCAGATCATCTGCGAAGTTCAAATCGTCCAACTGCATCCTAGATGTCCATTGTATCCCGTGCTTCCCTTCACATGTTGACGTCTTCATGATCCAGTCGATCACCAGGAGAAAGAGAAAGGGTGAGAGTAAGATGTTTCACTGATCCCAAGTACCTCTAGGTTGTATCTTCTCATTTCTTCAGCAATTTGGAAGGCTCTCCCGGTGTCCCACATTGTGCGAACATTCCATGTACCTAAGTAAATGGTCGCTCTGGTTGTCAGAAGGGGCGTCGGCCTCGTAACTTCCGAAGGAATTCGGCTTTCATCATGAGGCGTCATAGTTCTTCTAAATGAAGACCTTCTGACTCCCAGGGCAGAGTTTAAAAGGTTTGAATAATTTTTTCTGGTTAGCGTTTTTTTAGCGAGTTAGTTTTCTACGGGATGGGGACGCTAACCCCATGCCCAACCACTCCATCAACGATCAAATAAGTCAAGATGGCCACCAGATAAATGAAGAGTGAGAAAGCAGCAAGACCTGGCAATATAACAGCTTATGTACTGAGGTCAAACATGGAAGTAATTTTGAAGATGCTCCACATTCTATTCAGGAAGATTTGGGATGAGAAACAAGTGTCAACAGACTGGAAAGAAGGATATCTCATTGAGATGACAAAGAGAGGAGATCTGAGCAAATGTGAGAACTATGGAGGAATCACAGAGTGTTGTTGGACCTAATAAAAAACCTGGTAGACGTCCAACCTCGAGATCAACAGGCTGGATTCCGTAAGGATCGGTCATGCACAGAGAAAATCACGACACTACAGGTCACCATTCAACAATCAGGTGAATTAATCTGTCACTATGAATCAACTTTATTGATTGTAAAAATGCATTTGACATTGTGGATAGGGGGAATTTATGGGAACTTCCTCGACACTGTGGTGTACCAGAGAAGGTCGTCAATATCAAACGGAATTCATACGATTGACTACACTGCAAAGTGGTTCATGGAGGATAGCTGACAGATGCATTCTAGGTGAGGACCGGAGTCAAGTAAGGCTGCTAACACTAACTTTTCTCTTCCTTCTAGTGGTTGACTATATTATGAGGACCTCAACATTTGAGAGAAAGTACCTAATACAACAGACAGGTTTCACGCAACTAGACGATTTGCACTTCGCAGATGACCTGACCCTCCTATCCCATACACATCAACAAATGCAGATGAATACAACAAATGTAGCAGCAGAGTTTAGATCAGTAGGCCTCAACATACACACCGTAAACAGCAAGATTCTCAAATACAACACAGAGTGAATCAACCAACCTAATCACACGTGATGGAGACGCTTTAGAAGTCATGGAAACTTTCAAGTACACGAGAAGCGCTAAATTGAAATCCTGAAGGGAAACGGAAAAGAGGAAGACCGTAAAACATACTGCGCAGGTAATTGGAAGTAGATATGAATAAGATGAATAGCAGCTGGAAAGATATAGAAACGTTTGCTCAGGACAGGATTGAATATAGAATGCTTTTGGGCGGCCCATGCTCCTTTGTGAGGGTTGATAAGCGTAGGTAGATTATCAAATCGAAATATATTTTAACTTGTATTTCAAATATATATATAAACATGCTTTCAAATTATGCTTATCAAAGTATCTTACGGAAACGTTTCTTCCTGGTAAACTTAATATTTTTTTCAAAAAAAAATAATTTATTATATGATAGAAACCGGTTTATTATGTTGTCTTCACTAACCACTTCACTTAACGCATTTTAAAATAGTGCCCTAATAAATGTTTAAACGAATAATTACAGATATTCTTTTTTTTTTAAAGTATTGAGATAGTTTGTTCATATGACTGAAAAAGATTTATATCAACGTATATAAATGCAGGCAGATAATATACGTCAAATATTCAAATGCTGTAGTAATCATTAACAACGTAAACATTATTGAAATGAAAAGTAAACCTTCTCAATAATTCAAGCATAGAATAAATCAGACCAATTTAAAACATTTGATAAGTTAAGATGCAATTATTTAAATTAGATATATGTTTGAAATGAATAGAACACTGTTGGATAATGACTCAGTGATCTAGAGGATATGTATTCCCTGACAATATCAAAGTTCATAGGTTCTAGTCTCACGTGCGGGATCATGGATGACCACTACTGTGGAATCCTAGATTAAGGTAAAAACGGGTATCTAGTGCTTTCGAATTTCCAATAATGGTCTAACATTGGTCACTTTATAATCTCAATCAAAAAACCTAACAATCTCCACAACTCTATACTGAGATGAATAGAATTTTGTAACGATTGAGAGTAAAGTAGAATACTTTTGTTACTCATAATAATTGTTTATGTAATGCATGTTTACAATATATCAATATATCTATAATTCAGTCTAAAACAAATCCAAAAGGTTTAATCACATTTTTAGTTTATTAATCTAATAATAAATAATTTAAGGTTGTTCAAGATAATTACCAAAAACTATTTGATCTAGGTTTTTGGCATTCTACAACAAAACCTATCCAAGATAGTTACTATCTAATATATATTATGATTCCATTGTTTATTTTTTTTTCATTTCTGCTCATTCATCATACGAATCAGGGAATAGATAAATTAGGTCTGTCACACTCGAATATATTTTCTTAATTTTTTTTCATGACAAATGATTATTTTAAAAAAAAGAAGAAAAGAAAACCACGCGAGGTCAAAATGAATAAATAAGAACTACCGCTCTTGAAATCAAAAAAAAGAGGAAATTCAACGTATATACATCACAATTAATGTTATTTCTTGTTTAATCTTCTATTATGGATACCATTCAATTCACTGGGTAAATATGAATAGTGCATAGAAATGAATAAAGAATTAATTTATGCTCTGTAATTGTCAAACAATGAATGAATATTTTTGAGTTAAATATGACTTTACAAGAAAAGCAAAACAAAACACACACACTCACACTATTGTTTATCATTTTTAAAATCATTTCACCTTAAAGATCAAATTCATCAATTTAACTTAAACCGTTGGTTCTTTTATATTTTGGGTTGAGAAACTGTGTCGTAGAATGAATTTCAAGTAATAGAATATTTATGTGATATAACTAATAAAAAAAATTTCAATGGTTAAGACCATGAGTCAGTTGAAGCTAGACCAACATGGAAAACCTGGAAGCACTAGACGGCCGTTTCGTCCTATTGTGGAACTCCTCAACAGTGCGCATCCATGACCTCGCCCCCTGCGAGATTCGAACCGACCAGTGCTTCCA